TTTACCTATATTCATTTTAAATTATTTATTATTTAGCGTTAATTCATAAAAATTAAATTTATTAAAATAATTTTTAAAATTAATTTTGAATGAAATTTATTAGTGTTTTAATCTTTTTAATTTTCAATTCAATATTATGGAGTTTAATTAATTCTGTTAAAAATAATAAAAATCAAAATGAGGTAGCTATTGTTTCGGAAACTTCAAAGGATTTAAATAATATATTACTTGATGGGGCGGAATCATCGGTTGGTCCTCAAAATAATAAAGAATTATTAAAATTGGCAGAAAAAAAGATAAAGAAAAAAGAATATGATAACGAATACAACCAAAAGAATAAAGAAAAGAGGAAAGAATATTACCGAAAATATCAACAAAAAAATAAAGAAAAACTAAAAGAAAAGAGAAATTCTGAAAATTATAAACAAGTTAAAAAAGAATATGATCGGAACTATTACAAAAATAATAAAGAAAAGATACTAGAATATAAAAGATTTTACGACCAAAATAATAAAGATAAGAGGAATGACTCTCGTCGAAAATACCGAGAAAAAAAGAAAAATGAGATGGAAAATTTAAAAAATGAAATTTCACAGTTAAGAAATATTCATTCAGAAATTAATGAAGGAACTTCTTTTATTCTTCCACAGAATAATGCTTCAGAAAATTCAACTAAAATATTAAATGCTGGGGATGAATCAACAGTTGCTGCTCAATGTAAAAAATATCAGGAAAAGGTAAAGATAACATCCAATAATGAACTTAAAATTAATGAAAATGAAAAAAAGTTAAGGAAAAAAGAATATGATAAAGAGAGATATCAGAAGAATAAGGAAAAGATGTGTGAAAATATAGAAAATTTACGAAAAAGTAAATTAGAAATTTTGCAAAATATTAATTCAAAATTAATAAATAGTCAATCTAATAACGGAAATTTATTACCTACTACACAAAATAATGATTGTGGAAGTAAAGAAAAGGAACTGATTGTTTCCAAAGAGAATATCCAGTTAGAAAAAGGAGAAGATAATCCTATTCAATCTTCTCATAATGTGGAAGGAATTGAAAATGCTGAAGGAACCTCATTTGTTAATCCACAGATGGGTGATTTTGAAGGTGGAGGACATGAACCATCGAAAGAGAACGTTCAATTAGATAAAGAAAATATTCTTTTACAAGATGATAATTCAATTCGATCATCTTATAAGGATGAAGGAAATTCAGCACATCCAGTTAATCCGCAAAAGGGTGAAAGTGGAGATAATTCAATGAATTTCCCTTATGAACAAGGAAATGTTCATATTGAACATCGTAATCAACAGAATGACCTGAATGCTGTGGATTATCTCAATTTTTTATATGATCTAAATTTTTTGGATAATCAGAATTTTCTATGATGAAAAGAATTTATCCGATAAACAAATATATGATTTGAATTTTTAACTTTTAAAACAAAATCTTTCTACTCTGTTAATTTTTAAAATATTTTTTTATTTTCTTAATCTGTCATTTAACTTGAATTAAATTAGATTATTAACTAAAAAGCTTAAGGTTTTTTTTGTAATTTCATAAAACTTATAAAAAATCTAATATTTATTTTTCTTTGGAATTTTGAAGTGATTTACAGATTGTCCAATTGTGCTTATAAATCGCATATAAAAATTTTAATTATTGAACTGTCTTAATAATGATAACCAGAAAAACAACTGTATTCATAAAATTTACAAATTTACATTATTTATTATCTATTTTTGTCAATGATCATCTATTATAAATATTTTAAACGATCAAAAGAAATTTCTAGAAAGTATCCGAAATATGAGTCTCTGAATGGTAAATTAAATTTGACAAATTTAAATTTTTTGAGTAAAATTTTCAAAAATGAAATTGGCTATTTCGATGCGCCTGAACGAGATATGTCTATTATTACAAAAATTTAATGGATCGAATGATTTAGGACGAAGTTATGATCAATTAAAATTTAGCAAAAAAAAGTTTTTTGTGTATTTAATATTTTCGGACCGTCTTATCTCTACCATCCGCGAACCGAATTTCTGGCTCCGGTACAAAATATGGAATAGTTAAAATATGGAATGGTTAAAATCGCGAATAGGCTAAAAAGGGGTTAAAATACCGAATCGTTAAAATATGGAATAGTTAAAATATCGAATCGGGATCCGGAAAACACATCGTACGGATCCGGAAAACATAACGCGATTTTTATACGGAAAAATTAGAGTGGCGTGCACTAGTTTTTAGTTAAGACCTAAATTTGTACCCTGCCGTATACGGTACAGAATACCGAAAAATACCGATCAGCTTTTAAATTTTATCGGTCGGCATTCCGCAACGTACTAGCGAAACGGAATACCTAAAAATACCGTCGGTATTACGGCAACGCCCGGATTCTAGGTTTTGGCGCCATTTTTAAAAAAATTCGACATTTTGACCTATTTTGGCCGTGTCGACATTTTATCAATTCGATATTTTAACGATTCCATATTTTAACCCCTTTTTACACGATTCGATATTTTAACCATTCCATATTTTAACGATTCCACATTTTAACCCCTTTCTAGCCTATTCGCGATTTTAACCCATTTTTACCCGATTCGAGATTTTAACCCTTTTTTAGCCTATTCCATATTTTAACGATTCGATATTTTGTCCGGACACGGAATTTCTATTTTGTTGATAACAAAAATTTTTTCAGAGTTGTGAATAAAATAAAAAAAAAATTATATATTCAGAGAGCTAATCTAATTATATTTTTTACATAAAATTCTGATCATCCTTTTGTTGATATAAAATTTCAAGAATATAGATTATTCAAAAAATCTGGATCATCCAAAAAACTTAGATCAGACACATCGTTCTGGCCTTCAGTTTGTTTAACGACATTTTCATCTTCTATTTGAACATTACCCTCTCCAACAGGATATACTATCGAGTCGGATAAATTGTTTACACAATCAGTAGTTGAATTAACAATTGAATTTCCTTCTGAATTATTTATCTGTCCATACTCTTCACAAACTATTGGATCTTTTCCTTTATTTTCACAATTATTATTAGGTGAATTATTAAAAGTTCCTAAATTATTATCAGATTGAACCTCTTTTAAAATATCATTTTTGTGCATATCTTTTTGATTTTTCTTTTCCTCTCGGCGCATTCGATTATATTCTCTTTTCTTTATTATTAAGGTAGTATTCATGATTAACAAATTTTTTCCTTTTTCTTATTCTCTCCCTATTCTGTTCCCGATATTTTCGATCATATTCAGTTTTTTTATCTTTATTTTTTTGGTAGTGATTTCTATTATATTCCTTTTTCTTTAGCCTTATTTCTTCTTCTTTATTTTTATTTATTTCCTTTTTTGTAATTTTAGGTGTTGATTTTAACGTTTCTCCATATTTTTGAATTTGTGGCGCAAACGATGATTCAGCCCCATAATTTGATTTTTCATGTATTATAAGTAGGGATGGGATTTATATGGACTATCAATCGAAAAATATGGACATATAATATGGACTAAAAATCTCAAAATATGGACTGAAATATGGGCTAAAATCCAAAATATGGATCAAATATGGGCCGAAAACTGAAAATTTTTAACGGAAAAATTTAAATTTTTAAGCAAAAAATGTTAATGAAGTTAATTTTGATGCAAATTAATACAAATAATCCAATTAATAGTGATTATTTTGTTTCTAAAAATATTTTGGATAATATTTGAGTCAAAAATTTTTTGAAAAATTTTTGTTAAAATTTTTATAAAAAAATTTTCAAAAATTTTTTTAAAAAAATTTTTTCAAAAAATTTTTTTGTGAAAATTTTTGACCAAAAATTTCATAAATTTGAAAATTTTAACCAATTTTTGGCAAAATTTTACAAAAAATGACAAAATATGGATAAAATATGGAAAATATGGACGGAACGCCTAAATATGAAAAAATACGGAAAATATGGATTGATAACTCAAAAACGGCCTTATCAACATATGCTAAAAATATGTTTTTTGGACGTTTCAGAACCCAACGAGTTCAGGAAAAAAATATGGAAATCCATATAAATCCTATCCCTAATTATAAGCAAGTTTCCCTCAGCTCTTTTTAAATCTTGTAGATTATTATTATTTTTAACAGAATTAATTAAACTCCATAATATCGAATTGAAAATTAAAAAGATTAAAATGCTATCAAGTTTCATCTACTTAATTTTTAAAAATTTTTAAAGAGTAATCTGTTTATAAAGAAAAATGATTAAAGAAATAATTATTAATTTATATTTTGACTCTTTACATTATTTATTACATAAATTAATAAATGTAATCAAATCTTATGCTGTAATATGATTTAATGACAGACATTTTTGAAATATCAAAGGGCATCTATTAAGTAAACAATTTTTTTTAATTCTATTGGGAAAAGCAAATTTCGGAAATGAAAGTACACTGTCTAATTATTACAAAATAAATTGTATTTAGAAGCTCTTTAAGACACTAGAGTTCGAGCTGTGCCTGGACCAAGGCCTGGGTTTTTCCTGTACCCAGAGTCTAGCCACAGGCATTTTTTGACCTTCCTGTGATTTTCCTGGGCCTGGGTTTTTCCTGGACTACAGGCCCAGGATCCGGCCCAGGTTAATAGATCAAACCCGGAACCCAGGAACAGGCCAGGCTTTTCAAAAATCTCGATCTCTATAAGACACATTGTGCGGTAAGTGACCAAAAAGGGGGTATATTAAGGAGGGGGGCTCTAATTCAGACGAGGGGCTATAATACAGGAAATACGGTATATTATTTTCCCATATTTTTTTAAATTTAATGAGAATTATTCAATAGTTGTCCTTTGAGATTTCATATTCGTCTGACTTTAGATAAATTATGGCTCGATTAATGACCTTTATATTAAAAACAATATTATTAATAAATAAAAATTTAATTAATCATTTTAATTAATAATAAAATTATTTTTTAAAAATTTTTTAAATTAAATAAAATGGAATTTATTAATGTATTTATTTTTTTAATTTTCAATTCGATTTTATGGAGTTTAATTAATTCTGTTAAAAATAATAATAATCAAAACGAGGTAGCTATTGTTTCGGAAACTTCAAAGGGTTTAAATAAAATATTATATGATGGGGCGGAATCATTGGGTGCTCCTCAAATTCAAAAATATAAAGAAACGTCAAAACCATCTTCATCAACTAAAGATGATGAAGATGAAAAGCTAAAAATGAAGCAATATAATAAAAAGAGATACCAAAAAAAGAGGGAATATCATAGAGAATATGCTCGAAATTGGTATAAAATGAATTTAGAGAGAAGCCAAATTTATCGCAAAAATAATAAAGAAAAAAAGAAAGAATATGATCGAAAATATCTTCAAGATAATAAAGAAAAAATGAGAGAATATCAACGAAAATACTATCTAAATAAGAAAAATGAGAAGGAACTTATAAAAAATAATAGATTAAAATTGATAAATGTTCAATCTGTTAGTGAAGGATGTTCATTTGATATTCAACAGACTGAGGATTGTAGCCATAAGGTTAAATTACCAATTGTCTACGAAGAGGACTTTCAGACTGAAGAAAGAAATATTCCTCGAGGGTGGGAAGAAGGCAATAATACGGATAAAGTAGAAAATTTTGTGGATGATCTAAATCAAATTGAGGTTGAAGAGCCTAATAAACTTGGTGAAAATAACATTAATCAAATAAACTTAAATGAGTATCCTTTTGATCTGAACGAGAAACCTGAGGAGGCTGAAGAAGATATTTAAAGATAAGACTATGTGATGAACGAATCCTAAAAAAATATGATCAAATACAAATATATTTTTCTAAATTTTTACTCGCTCTGTCCGATAATCACCCAAATAAGCAAAAATTCATAACTTTTTAAAGGAACCATTTTTGCCCATTTTTAAATCTTATTCTATGCATAAAAATCTTCTCAATCGTGAATAATTCATTTTCCAATTTTGGACCTTTGTATGTATGTACTATTTTTGTCTGCTCGAATCGCCTATAAGAGGACCAAATATTATCAAACACAAGACAGTTTTTGATTTCAAGCCTGATTTTTATGCGTTAATTTCGAAGAATTTATAGGAAATATAGTCAAATCTCAAAAAACGGAGTCATAAAGGTTTTGATATAGAGTGCAATCAAATGAAATCCATTTTTTATCAATTTTATATCCAAAAACATTTTTCTTCCATAAATTTGATCTATTTATTAAATGTTGAAAGAAAAATTGTGAAATCTCAGACGAAATTTCACAACTTTTTTATATTTTAAAATATTATTAAAAGTAAATAGCAGATCGAGTTAAATCAGACCGAGACGTTACAGGAAGCGTCTCAGTTTGTTGTTCATAAGGAGAAATAAATTTACAATAATGGTATTTCAAAATTAAGAAACTTTAATCAAAAAATAGTAAAAAATGGAAAATATGATAGTTAAATCCAGTTCCTTCAAGAAACACGGTGACCATAAAAATTTATGGCACTTTTCATTTTACCATAACTTTTTCTCTCATTTATATTTTTTACTATTATTAAACTCATTTTGTAGCCCATCCAATTTCTTTCAGGGTTTATAAGTCTGGTTCTATTATTAAATCTTTTTTAAACGATTTTTTATTTAATTACATTTTTATTTTATTTGACAAACTTCTTTTTTCTTGTGTAAAATTCTCTTAAATATTTTTTAGTTATTAATTTTAAAAAATATTTTATTTTTTTAATTGATTGAAGCCAAATAAATATATAAAAATAACATCTTGACAACAATGCCTTATTTATATTTAACCGTTGCCAAGCGCCTAGGTGATAGCTTTAAGATAAATGTCCGTTTTTAACCAATGCCATTCTTTTCTTATACACTTCCTTTTCTTTACCTAAGAAACTCGAGTGGTATTTATTTGGCAAATATAATAATATTTTTTTGAAATACATTTTAATTAGTAACTTGATTTTTCAAATCTTTCAAATTATTTCGAGAAAAGATCGAATACATACATATACCTAAATGGTTGAGTTTAATTTACTATAACGATTTTCTAATCTTTACTCAGTTAATTGAAAACCTCTTCTAAAATAGCGATATATGAAGCTTAGTTCACCCACCAGGCTTCATAAGTTCACCAGGCATATTTAACTTCAAACTGGAACTTAAATATTTTGATTCAGACTAACTGACCGTTTTCCTTAAAATACATATCCCTTACTTAATCTTTTTTCGTAAATGAAAGTAACTAGGCATATTTTTAAGAATGTAATTAAAAGTTAAAACGCCTATATGTATTTTGTTATTAACAGTTATTATTAGCTTTCTATATTTATCCTAAAGATATTATTATTTTATTTAATTAATAAATTAATTATATAAATTATGGCATCGGGTAAGAAATAATATTAGCAGAAAAATAAAAATATTTGTTAATTTTTAAAGCTGAAACAGCTAAAGATGAACAAACATTTCCTTGTCGTATATGTACGCGAAGATTCATAAAATCAAGCTTGGTATGGAAAATTCAATTTTAATTTTTATGACACTCGTATCTTACTAATAATTTTAAATAATTATTTTACGAATAAAAATATTTTAAAAATTTTAAGGAGAAACACGAACAAGCATGCAAAAAATTAACAAAAATGCAACGCAAAGTTTTCGACTCGGTTTTTTGAAATTTAAAAATTCAAAAATATTTTTAAAAAAATTAAGGGTAAACAAAGAGCATTAAATTCAGATATACCCATTAATGATGTAAGAAAAGTGCAGAAGGAGCGAGAGAAGGTAGTCTGAAATTAATTTATTTCAAAATTATTTGATTTTTCTAGATGGGTGGTGTCTTTCCAAGACCGTAAGTTAATTTTAATTTAAAAATTCTGTTTCATATTAAATCAGGGCTTCGATCTCGAATTTTTAAAAATCCGCAATTTTGGTCGAAAAAATCCGCATTTGATATGAAAAATCCGCAAAAAATTATTAAACACAAAATTTGAAGTAAAATCTCTTTATGTTTGATATTTTTTACTCCAATAATTGAATTATGCAATTTTTTTATTACTAATGATAATCTTATATGTAGAAATCCAAACAATTATCTGGCAATTACAATTGAATTTTTATCGCCGAAGACGACAAAAATTTTTATTTTTTCCTTTTTCAGCTCCGCAGGCAAAATTTTTTTTGAATTTCGAAAAATTCTTAAGCCAAAAATCTTACATTTTCAGCGCCGCAGGCGAAAATTTTGAGGATTTTGGAAGGTCTTAGCAGAAAATAATGGCATTTTATCATAAAAACTACAGAAAAATACAAAAAATCCTCATATTCTTCAAAAGACCACAAAAATCCGCAAATCCGCATTTTTATAAATAATCCTCATCGCCCTAACAAAAAACCACAAAATGAGGAAAAATCCGCAGAAATCGAAACCCTGTATTAAATTAATAATAAAGTCGAATTTCGATTTTATATACATACCCTTGTAGGAAAAATTAGAGTTGGGCGGTATCGGGATCGGGATCATGGAATGCTGATCCCGGCTGCGGGTTCGTGATTGGCCGAAACCAGGAACGGGATTTATCTTTCGGTCTTGGGATCAGAAAAATCGGAAAGGTATTCAAATAAACCGAGATAATCACGCCCGATGGGGATCCCGATCCCGCCTAATCCTAGAAAAAATTATCTGAAATTAGGAGTTAAATTTGTGTGAGTGAACCAAACTAGTCAACAAATTTTATGAAAATTGGGGGGTTCTTTTTGGGTCTATGTTAAGTCGTATTCCGATTTTACTTAAATTTATCTTAGTCAAACAAATTGGCGTGAACGACATGAAGAATTTATTGGTGCCGTGAGTGCTTCTAAGCAAGTCGGGAATGCATTGAAAACGGGTGCCCCTCTACCTCCTCCTCCCAAAACTGCTTCTAATGCAGGTAAGTTTAATAAAACTAAAAATTCTAAAAATAAATTTAAAGATTATATTAAATGTGATTTTTGTGGGAGAAGTTTTAACAAAAATGCAGCTGAGAGACATATTGAATTTTGTAAGGAACAGAATGTTAGGAAAGCTATTTTGTCAAAACAGGGAAGACAAAAAACTTCTGAATGTTAGTGATAATTTTTTAGCCATATAACATGACAATAAATTGCAAAACTCGCAATTTAGAAAAAAAAACTGGGGAATTCTCGTCTTCATGGAATGCATAAGCTTTAAGACAGATATACATATTTTCAGTTTTCCTATGCTTTTTCGATTATTTCCGTCCTATGAAACTTCACAGCTATTTAATTTTAAAATTTATTATTAAGACTTTTTTATGTATATTTAATAATTTTAACATTATTTTCAATTTAAGCTGTTAAAAGTCGTCCAAAAACAAGGTCTTCATTGACTTCATCCTCGGCTACCTCATCCGGTTCCTCTCATTATGGTCAATCAGATAAAGCTGTCTTAACTAACTCAAAATCGACACATGCACCTATTCAAAGTTCGTATGCTAATCAACGAAGGCCTAGTGGTGGGAGTGTTATAATACATAGAACTACGGAAAGTGTTGAGAGAATAACTGCTAGTTCAAATTCAAGATTGCCTCAACCCACAGTAAAGTGAGTTGGGCACTTAAATTCCGGAGATGTTTCCTTAGTCTTGTTGATAACAAATAAAAAATTGGATAAAGTCTTCCTTTAGTTTAATTAAAAAACAATATTTATCGCAATGCACTTATAAGTTAATGTTAATTTGGAAAAAAGATTGTGAACTTATCATCTTTCTCATATGGAGGAAGGAAAAACTACGTATAACTGTGTAAAAAATTAAACGACAAAAATTTTTCCCTAATAAACAAGATACTGATAATGTAAGCGATGCACATCTAGTTCAGTGAATGGGATAATTCTGTTAAGAATAATATAATTTCAAAACGAGTTAACTAGAGTTGGGGAAACTTCAAAGTTTGTAAATAAAGGATTAAATGTTGAGGCTGAATAACGGTAGATCCTCAGAATTGAAAATACAAACAAATGATAAAATAACCCCGAAATATCATCCATGCATTAATTAATGAAATTTAATTCTAATATTTAAAATTTTAGAAGAAGCAATTCTGCACCACGAGGAAAAGAAATATCAAAACCAATTGGAAAAAGCAATTCGAACACGTTTGGAATTTTAAAAATTAACAAACAAATATTTTTTAATTTAGTGGAAAGTCAACTTTCTCCACCCCAAAAAGCGCAGGAATGTCCTCTACCTTACAAGATAATAGATTAGCTAAAAGATTATCAAAACAGCATTTATGATAAGGAAGATTAAGGAAGATACTACTTTTTTTTAAATAATTGATATTTCTTATATAACCAATTTTTGTTTGAAAAATAAAATTAATAAATCAGATTTTATTTAAATTACCTAGTTTAATTGAAAACTTAATTTTTTAAATCCAGAAATCGTGTGGTTCCTTTCGTTTTCTGCCAATTACCAAATAAAACAGAAGAAACCTACTATGCATTTGAAGCTATTTTGGCAGAAATTGATTAGCTAAAAGATTATCAAAACATTTCTGCGAAATTTGATAACATTTGGCGAATTCAGTTCGGAGTTTTTTGTGCGGCTATACTTAAATCCCGCGTTGTATTGTAATGCACTTTTCATTTAATTTCAAAAAAATTTAAGACTGAAACAATTCATTGATTTACTAAAGTGATTGATCTTGTCTTTTTAATCTAATCTTTTTAATAAAATTGCACATGCCAAAATAAATTCACGTGCGAAATTTTTCACGTTTGGATGCACTTATTTGCTTAAATTTAAAGACTTGCTAATGAATGCTCTTGCTAATAAATTACAATGCTCGACAAGTTCCGAACGAGAATGGGCTTGTCTTTTAATTGTAATAAAGACAAACTAACAATTATTGTTTCACCGGAAACGATTTGACCAGAACCGTATCCAATTTGAGTTCCGGAATCAAGCTCACAGAAACAGCTCAAAAAACGCAGAAACCTGCGGAAGCGTTTTTATTTTTTGCGTATTTGTAGTGCAAAACATCATTCTCCGCTCACAAAAAACATTGTAATGTCCTCTACCTGTCCAACATAAAATCGATTAACAAATGATTATCAAAACAGCGTTTATGATAAGGAAAGGAAGAACTTTTATGAAATTTCTTTTCTATTAAATAACTAAATTTTGGTCCCGACCATGACCTCAATTCTCCTATAACAATTTATATTTAGTATTCTTATCATTCTCATTTTTTATTATTATCAACTATCTTTAACATTGCACATTTAATGTTATTCATTTCCTTTCCCATAAATTTCCTTGCCAAATGTTCTTAAACATACAATGTTCATTTAACATTTTTTCCCAGCATTCTCTAAATAATTACTTCACAACATTCCCAGAATGTTCACTTTTAATTTTATACATTTCTTCCGTACCATTTTCCCAATATTTAACTTAAGGTTGAACAACAAATGATTCACTTAAGAGGTATTCATTCGATTAATCCCTACATCCCATAAATTTCCCATTTTCTTTATTTATTACTCGAATATTTACATTGAACCGTTAACTCATTTAATATATATTTGGAAAATGAAATAATTATTTTATCAAATTTATTTTGTTAAAAGGTCCTCTGCGCCTCCTCCCACTCAATCCACAATCCCAGAGCTTCCAGACCGAAAGATCTGAGCGGCATAACTAGAATAATAGATCGTGATCTAATTCGGAAAAGTTTTTTAAGCTAAATCGAATGTATCATAAGTAGATCTCGGACTTAACAATTGGCCGAGATAATTGAAAAAACTTAGGAGTTATAGTATATTGTATATTGGAGTTATAGTTTCATTTAGAAGCCCTTATCAGATTCGTACTCGTACTAGTGATGCTCGGGTATCCCGATCCCGACTCCCGAGGTCATTTCCCGACCCGACTCCCGTTTCCCGATTCCCGGGTTTTTTCTTCTCCCGAGCATCACTAACTCGTACATATTAAAAGTACAAGGACAAAATTTTTTAACAAATATTTTATTTCCTTATCAGACTTATTCGAGCCAATTAAGCATTATATTTTCCTTGTCTTTATAACATCATCGCTATATTTTATTATTAACCCCACTTTGTTAATAAATTGTCAATTATTTTTAATAATTTTTAGTGTATCTTAACTCAGCTAAATTTAAGGAGTTCAATAAATAGTGGAACATAATCGAACTTTTAGGCATATTTTGGGGTTGTTGGTTATTATTATTATACTTTTCGAGTAGATTGGAAATAAAATTATTATCGGAATCCATGACAGCTAGGAGGGATATACAAAGAATAAAAAAACATTTTTATTTTCCAGATGAAAATTCTAGTTTATTTCATTTTGTGTTTAATTAATATTATAACAGCTTATGAACTACATAAACTATCTCCATTTACTATTTTATGGAGAATGGATAACCCAAACCGGATGAAGTTTGGAAGACGTTATGAAATAAAAAATTTAGAAAATGGAATGAGGTATTTTGAAATAAAAATAATTTTTTTCAATGCACTCTTAGATTATAATACTAGACATTTAATTTGTTTATATGGGAAATTATTTAATATTTTTAACGATTTCACCATCGTTATTAATATTACATCATTTTAATAATCAAAAATTTTAATTTTTTAATTTTAAAATTTTAAAACAAAATGCGCAAAAATTTAATTATAATAAAAACACGGGTAGAGTTCCACTTAGGAAATTCTTCTGATATTTGAAAATAAGGAGGATCGGGTACCCGGAACCCTGAATTTTTTGGAATGAAATCCGGCCAAAGGGAAATTTTGCAAGCCGACTTTTTCCACAACCTGGACTATTTCTGACTAAAACCATATCAGTGAAGTAAAATAGAAAAAACATAGGGTGGTAATAGTATTCGCAAATTTAAAATTTCCAAGCATTTGTAGCCATAACTGGCAAGTAAGCAAACCTATAGCTAAACCTTCTCTTATCCCCCAAAAAACAAATTTACTAATAAATCTTATTTTATAGCCAATTATCTCATATTGAAAAAAATATACCTCCTAACATTATTCCTTCTAATTCATTAAATGATGCTTATGTCCGGCTTTGTGTTAGTTTTTTATTTTGAAATAATTTAAAAATTCACTTATTTGTTTAAAGAATGATTTTGATAATACCGACCTTAAAAAAGAATTTCTTCAAAATTTAAATGAAAGTTTAATATTTCAAAAAGCTGGAGAATTATACGAGAATAGAGAAAATTATTTTGTTGAGTTTATAGAAGATGATGGCCAAAAAAGTTTCATTGATAAAGTTGGGGAACTCTTATTTTCTGAGGAAGAACCGCGTTAGTTTATTAAAAATATTTTAAATAATTATAATTAATATTTAAATTTTTTGAAACGCCCCCCCCCCCGACACGAAGTCTCTATACTGTGTTTCATATGTATACGCGCACATAAATTTTTCGATTGTCCATAGATCTTGTTGTTTAGTTCATTCATATATTTTAAAAAATCTAGAAGTTATTTACATCTGTATTAATGAAAGAAAAATCGAAAAATACAGGTGCGCGTATACTTATGAAACACTGTACCATAACAAAACCAGCTCCAAATCGGAGTTCAAACTCCGACTCGAAGTCGAAGTTTTTCACACACCCATTGATGGAAATTCTTTAAATAGTAAAGTGGGTGAGTGTTGAAACTAGAGTTGCACGAGATCGAGATTTTAGAAAAAATCCGAGACCGAGATTGACCGAGACTCGCATGACCGAGACCGAGACCGAGATGCAAAATTTGACCCGAGACCGATATCGAGATCCGAGATAAACCGAGATTTTTCAAAACTTTTTTCATCCACCAAAACCCATTTAAATTAATTAATCATCATCAAAATCATATGTTTCATCAGAATCAATTTCAGTTGGTGGACCAAGCATCAGTTTATCCATATTTGCCTTTACAACTAGAATTTTTCCCACAATTTCTCCAGAAAGACTCAAGTATAAAGGGTAGGGGACACTTGTGTCTCTACGGGGTCGGTTTATTAGAAGCGTGTCACGACACTTGCAGATATGACATTTTGAACCTCCGGAAAAAAGAGAATCTCCGGAAAGAGTGATGCCGTTCGACTTAGCTCGTCGAGACGAATTGGTATGGGTCTGTTATCAAAATCTTTCCACGTGTATACCATACTATATCCTTTGATTTTTTAAGATTTCTAAATTTTTTTTTAATTTAAAATTTTTTTTCAAAAATTAATATCTGCAAAAGTCGGATCTGCAAATGTCTGATCTGCAAGTGTCATATCTGCAAGTGTCGGTATCTGCAAATGTGAAGCCCCAACTTTTGGATTTTTCTTCGTGTTCAAGGTTGGGGTTGGGTTCCGTAAGTCGGGGTTCCATAAGGCCGTGCTTCGCTGCGGTCGTATTCGCTTCGATCGCGGCGACCGTAGCGAAGCGGCGGCCGTAGTTCCGCTCGACATGCCCGGCTTCCTCCACACAGGCAAAAACTTTTTTCCGCGAAGGTTGATGTGTATTCGGCCGCGCCTATTTGTCCTGCTCCGCTCTCTAGACAACTAAATTAAAGTGAGCACAACAATACATATATGTACCAATAGCGAAATTTTAAATATTTTGTCAAAATAAAAATAAATCTCAAGAAGTTCAATCTTTAGGGGTGTATACTGATCTCGGATCTCGGCGAGATTAAGTGCCGAGAATCTCGTCTCGGTTAAGTGGTCTCGTCTCGGCAAAACCGAGACCGAGATTGGAAAATGACCGAGATTCTCGTCTCGGTCTCGGTCGTGATATCGATCTCGTGCAACTCTAGTTGAAACTAAATTTCAAATACCTAATTCCGGCGTAAGTCATGAAACCCGAATAATTCTGTAAATTTTTAATTTAATTTCAAAAAATTTAAATCATTTAAGAATTCTATTCCTTATTTTGCCAATTCACACAAGAGAAGGGAAACTGGCATTCTTTTATACGTGAACAGCCACATATGAAAATTATTTCGTTAAAGCTCATAAACAACAATGTATCATCCTTTTAAAATAAATTATGAGAGATGAGAGAGCCTTTTTAGCTTTTTCCAGTTTTTTCACGGTTCAAGCTTTTAGGCGTGATACATTCGCAACATGGGAAAATTTTTCTTTGACATTTTTTTGACATTTCCAAATATTTCTTATACAAAACGATAGCTCTGAATGTGCTTATTATTGTTATAAGATCCGGTCATCTCCTAGTTACGTACAGTTACGATCATCTTGATCAGCCTTTATTCTTATAAATCTATCTATATCGTATAAAAATAATCAACTCTCGTTTGGTATAAGATGTATTACGATTATTATAAAAGTATGCTTGGGAAATCTCTCAATTTACATAATTACGATTTACATTCAAAAAATACAAAATTCATTTAATTTTGTAAATTAAAGGATGAAATAAAGGATATGCAAGTTAAATTCATAGAAAATGGAAGAATGAGGAAAAGACGGATTTTAATTGGAACTAGTTTGGATTTTGAAATTGTTGTCTTTTCATTGTGTGCACTGTCAATTAAAGACAAAGAGGAATGGAAGGTTGTATTGCTTTAAATTTATTAATCAAAATCTATAGTAAGGAGTTTAATTAAGTAAGAACCCATTAAATTAAAGTAAGAACTTGAATTAAACATTTAAGAACGTGTTTAAAAATAGGATTCTGCCCTAGAAATTTTAATAATGATTAAAAAACAATTGTTGTCTAAAAGCCCAAAATCAAACCTATTTTTAAAAATATATTAACCTAAAGCAGCATATAATGTAATAACAATCGTGACTTTTTACTTAATATGCAAAAATTAAATAAATAAATTACATAAGTGTTTAAAAGTTTAAACATTAGTATAATGTTTTAATTATATTCATACATAATCTTGCTATAGTTTTGATATTTTCACGTTTGGAGTTTATTTAAACTCCATAAGATCATTATCCATAATTTAAAAAAATGTAATATGTCAATATTTAACACTAGACATAAATACCCTAGTTTTCTAAGGAAATCACTCTTGAATTAGATGCTGATTTCTTTAAAAACTTAAATGGATTGGGGATTTTATTTAGAACTCAATAAAATTATTATCAAAAATTTAAAAAAACTTGATATGTAAATATTTAACCCTAAACATACATAACGTAGTTTTCTAATGAAATCACTATTGAATTAGAGGGTGATTTCTTTTAAAACTGAAATTGAGCTTTTCTTTGGAGTACAGTTTAAAAATATATTACATTGGATCAATTATACAATTTTTAACCTTAATTGATATTTTTCGTTTAAATTAAAGTCCAATAATAATGTATGATCATAATTTTAGCATTGTTCAGCTCCCATTGATGGCGGATATCATTTTGATATGGCACTTAGAATGTCAGAGAATTATGGACATTTAAATGTTTCAAAACTTAATTTTTATTTTTTATGATTCTAATAATAACAGATAGCTTCGTTTACCAAAATTTTAAAAAAGAAGAAGCGAAAGCACAAATCTGATCCAGAATTTCAAAAATTAGTTGAAGAACTATGGGAAAAGGATGTTGATAGAGTTGACGAATCTGGTAGCTTAAAAAATATTTCTTTCGTAAATTTCGATATTATTAAGCTATTACACTAAATTGGCAAGGAAAACTTGAGAAAAAACAAGTAAAGGACATTTCGCCTGATCCGTAGGTTTATTTAACTAACCGTTGTTTAATATTAAATTCACATGTGTCTATAAAATTTTCGGGTCCCAATTTTGCTGGCTAGCCATACTAAGTTTCAATTCCGATAAAAATAGAATTCTTTAAAAAAATTCCCATTTTAACATGTAAATTTTGATCGTATTTGTATAAAATACTGAATTAAATTGCTGTCGTCCTTCCAACTGCACGTTTAGCTGTAAAAATTCGGATAAATTATCATTCAAGCTTATTCTCTTCTGTTGATGAATCTATATTTCAAAAACCTATATACGCTGCTCTACTAGAGATGTACAAAGAAAATAATTTTTATCAACAAGTGTGTGAACAAGAACCTCCAATGAACGAGGAAAGAAGAGAAAAATTTGTAAAAATTTGGGGATTAATTACGGATAGTGAAGTATTTAAATTAGGTTATGACTTTCTTCTAAATCATGGTCAGGATATGAAATTTGCAAAAAATTTTGAGACATTTTAAGGTAAAACTGACAAAAACTTTGATGAGTTCCGTGAACAAATGTTTGATTTTTGGTTTGGTACTTATTCCCGTTGTGAGCAGCATGAGAATTCTGAACCTTTAGGAAGCTCGGGTGAGAAAAGGATATTTATTTTTAATTAATTTATTAATTATATATGGCTTTAAATTAGGATGGGCGAAGATATGAGAGGAAAGTCGCAAAATATTAAATACAAATTATTCATTAAATTTTGAAGACAATGTAAAAATATATACTTAAGTACCCGTAAATACTCCTTCATATTTTTTATTTTTTTCGAAAATATTAAAATCGAATATCGAAAAATAAGAAAAATCATCGTATTGAGCTTGGCTCTAATATTTTCTAACGAGAAATTCTTGATCTTTAAAGGTTTTGAACATGTGTTCAGTGGTGAATGGAAACATGGAACCGGTGTTGAGGGACACCATAATTGGTTGCGTTATTATTTGGGAGAAAAAGCTGGAGAAATTAATTACTATGGGTATTTCGAGCATCAAAACAATAATATTTTGGGCACCTTCCAATATAAATGGAAGGGATTTTTAAAGCGTATTGGTGGATTCTTCTTTCGAACTTCACCTGGTAGATTCTTTGAAGTAGGGTTGGTCCCCGACCCCGACTAACCCCGACCCCGACCCCGAACCCCGACATTTTTTGACCTAAAACCCCGACCCCGACATTCCCAACCCCGAAAACCCCGACCCCCGAAAGTTCGACCCCGACGACCCCGAACCCCGAAAAATTTTTATGACCCCGACTCAAACTGCATTAATTAACTTTTATATATTTTTTTGTTGGCATTCTGCTATATTCTGATAAAACAAAAGAAAGAAAAGACAACTAAAAAAAGAGGAAAAGAACTATTTTTATTTTTCTCTATTCACAGAGAATATTTTCATGACATAATTTAAACTAGCTTTTTCTATTCATAGTTTGGTTATACACAACTCATTTTGAATTTGTAATTTTATATAGGTCTTTAGATTTAATTATAAATTATATTAAAATGTCAACTAAATCTTCTGATATTTGGAATTTTTTTGTAAAATTACCAACGGCTGATGAATCAGCTAGGTGCAAGCTTTGTGAAAATAAATTTTCTTGTAAAAAAAGTTCAACAAAAGGTTTATGGGACCATCTTAAGTCTATGCATTTGGCAGAATATGAGAAGTTTTTGCAAAAGAATACATCAACATCAGTAAGAGCTTGGAGCCAGTGTCATTTGACCTAGAAGAGGAAATTTTATCTGAAGAAGCTGAATCAAGTGATCATTTAAGTACAAGCAGCGATGAGAAATGTATTTTTGCCATTAAAAATAAACTCACTAAAATTTAGATGATATTTGGGCAAAACCTAAATCCCCTTGTACTTCTACATTGCCAAATACAACAATTTCTGGTGAGGAGTCAGCAGATTTTGTGTCAAAGATTGAATCGCAATTGTCACAATATAAAGCCTGGCAGCGTGTTCCAGTTGATAGTGATTTATTTTCATGGTGGAGAGATAATGGGAAGTTCATTCCTGAAATGGCTAAAATTGCTCAAATGTTGCATTGTATTCCCGCAACTTCCATTTGTTCTGAGAGGCTTTTCTCGAAAGCGGGACTTATATATGCTAATACTCTCAGGAATAGGTTTTATTTATTTGTGATTAAAAAAATAATAATTTTAGATTGTCAGGAAAAACTGTCAGGCAAATACTCGTAGTAAAAGCTAACTTGGATAAAGTACTTCTTGCGCCTTCGAATAATATCGAATCAGATTCAGAAAGTGAAGATAATGATAATGAAGATTAAGTTGATTTTTTTATAAAAATGTTGATTTTGAACAGTAATGTTTGATAAAAATGCTGGATTTTGTAAATTTTCACTTCAACCCCGACCCCCGACCCCGACCCCGAACCCCGACATTATTTTCAGCCCCGACCCCGACCCCGAACAATTTGAGCAACCCCGACCCCGACCCCGACTTTGTCAACCCCGAAAACCCCGACCCCCGACTTTTTCAACCCCGAAGGCTCGGGGACCAACCCTACTTTGAAGCTTTTAAAAAATTTTTTGAAATTTTTTAGCTTTTGACTTTACACTGTTTACTGTATGTTCTCTCACTCAACCAGGCAACGAAGCCTGTCATTTTGAATTGTTGAACACAAAAATGTTTGTTACTAGCTTCAAAATGAAATGCAACAATGGAACGTGTTTGGCAACATCTTACCCTGGATTATATTGAAAATAAAACTATTTGATTTTTATGTTATACGAATTTTTTTTCAATTTTTGGTGCTTTATTTCAAGAATATCTTTCTGTTACTTTTTTTAAATTTTAACATTTCTTAACAATTTTTTGATTATATTTGTTTAAAGAAAATTTATCATTGATTTAGAAGTCAAGCATGTAAATAACGCAAATTTTTATTTTAACATTTTTTACAAAATATTTATCTTTTCCTCTTAAATTATTCTCTTTCTTCATCCTTAGGTTTATCGTTCAGATAAAAATGATAATATCACTCATTTAAATTTATAAGATAACCCTGGTAATGTTGCTTGAAAACGATGCTTGAATTTAATTTAGAAAATAATTTCAGGATAATAATTTTAAAATAATAATTTTAATATAAATAATTTAAAAAAAAATAATCTTATAAAATGAAGATTTTTTATGTGTAAAATTATAAATTTCTTTATTACCACAAAAATAGAAATAAAAAAATCCACTTTATTCAGTAATTTAAGCAATATTTATTTATTTAAAATTTATTTTTTTTTATTTAGAATACATACTTGTGTTTTGAACTTAAAGAAAATAATTTTAGGATAATAATTTTATCCACTTTATCCATTAATTAAGTTCAAAATTTTTAAGTTCAGAATTAAATATAATAAATATTTTGAATACCAAGCAAAATTTTGCTAGCAAATATTTAATTTAATATTATTCTCAGACGAGATATTATTCCTAAATGCTGACTGAATCAAACATTATATTTGCAAATTAAATAAAATTAATTTCAAATAAAAAAAATTTGAACCAAGATGAAAAATTTTTTTTAGTTCAGATTAAAAGTAAGACTAAAAATGAACTAAAATTTTTATTTTACAAGCCTATATAATAAATTTGGGAAAAGGCAACCCTTAACCAAAAATCCCCAAAAACTCTACTAAATAACACAAAAAACTAATTGTAATTTGAATTAAAAAATTTAATTTTAAATGGCTAAATTTCTTTTATGCCTTCTCCAATTTTGCATTTTAATAATTTATGGATCATCTCAACTAAATAATAATCCCAATCAAATTACAGGGTTACCAGGCTTATCCGCAAAGCTCAACTTTAAACATTATTCAGGCTCATTATTTAATCTATCATTTTTATTAATTTTATTTTAAGGCTATTTGGATGCCGGAAATGGCAATTTATTTCATTATATTTTCGTTGAATCCCAAGGAACTCCAAAGACGGATCCATTGGTTAATATCCACAAATTCTCTTAAATTATCTAAATTTTCCTAAGGTTTTGTGGCTAAATGGAGGTCCTCGTTGTTCATCCCTCGGTGGTTTATTTACAGAATTAGGCCCATATTTAATCAACAAAGATGGCAAAACACTTCGCCTAAATCCTTATTCATGGAATAAATACGCATCTGTTATATTTTTAGAATCCCCTGCTTGGACTGGGTATTCCTATAATACAAAAAGTAAAAATGTTTCGACAAATGATGACAGTGTAGGTATTTATGCCTTGTGAATTTTTTTATGCCTTGTAAATCTTTTAAGGGGTCAATGAATGGGAGTTTATGAAAGATTTTGATGGAATTAATATGGAAAATTTTCTTGAGTTTGTATAGGCTGGGACTCGTAAATTAATCATTAATTAAGCAAGAACGTTCCTATAAGATAAAAATTAAGTGCAATCCAATTCATTAAGTTTCACAGATTTGGATAACGATTAATCAGTAATATTCAAATTAATAAAATAAACTCTAAATAAGCCATGATAAATAAGCCCTGATCAGGAAAAATGGGATTTACAATATTAGATAGGAGAGAGTAATTAGATCAGCTCAAAATAAGGGTAGAGAAACGAAAGAAAACGCTAAAAAGAAACGAAAGAATTCTTTTTAGCATCACAGATCAGGAAGATAAACGATATTTTAATAAGGTTTTGGTTTCTTAAAGTGATATCTAAACGGTATATGATATCATAAAATTATTTAAAGGTTGCCGTGGAAAACTATGCCGCATTAAAAGACTTTTTCAATAAATATCCTTCATTTAAATCAAATCCATTTTATCTCACTGGAGAGTCATATGCAGCAGTATATATTCCACTGCTTGCTGGAAAAATTTTGGAAGGCAACAAGGCTACACAAATAAATTTAAAAGTATATAATGTTGATATTTAATAAGGAAAAAATTAATTTTGTTAAAGGGTGTAGCTATTGGTAATGGGGCATTAAGTGATAGTCTGCATACAAATACACTACCTATGTACCTTTATAGTCATGGTTTGATGGATGAGGAAGTCTGGCAGACGTTCCAAAGTCAATGCTGTAATGGCTGCATGGGTTAAATTTAAAAATTATTTTTTATTTTTCCATAGCCGTGAACGGGACTGGTGATATCCAAATTAATCCAATAATTATGATTTTAAAACATAAACAAATTTCTATTTATTATGGGGAAATAGATGTAGATGTCATTTCCCATAGGAGCTGAGACCGCTTGATCGAGCGCTAGGCTGATCAAACACTCAATGGAGAAAGTGATCTAAGTTGGAATGAACATCAATTTAGCTTCTAGTTAATAATAAATTTTATTAAGCAGAGTAGCTATTGGTAGCTATTGGTTTTATTAATTAGAGTAGCTATTGGATGGTGATTAAGTGAAAGGCTTAATACAGATACACTACCCATGTACCTTTATGGGCGGGAGCTTGGTTAATTTTCGATATTTTTTTAGAGTCGAACATTAATAACTTAATATTTTAAAGATGGTTGTGACATTAAAGGCATCCCTGATGAATCAAGATGTGGAAATATGGTAAAATTTTATAAATTTAACAAATTTATTAAAACTTTTAGGGAGGGAACTTATTTGCTGCTTATAACAATAAATTTTTAAATATTTATAATATTTATGAAAATTGTGGTAAAAATATTTACTTATAAATTATTTAATTATTTAAATTTATAACCGGCAAACGGCAATCTTCCGTGTATAGATGGTAAGAAAAATTATAGTTTAATTATAAAAATATGATTATTCCCATCTAAAAGATCCTTAAAATAATATTGGGAGCAATTTATTAGGGTGTAAAATACTTTTCCTTTCTTAGGGAAAACTATTTCACCTTCCTATTCTTTAATAGGGAATTAAAAAATCTCAGCGTTAATTATTCTCTCAGAATAATTAACCTAGATCAAATAAACAAATAAAATTAACACAACTACAATTAAATCTTTATCTTCAAATAAAATAAATATTCACACAGAATATAAAAAATGAATATCTCAAAAAGACATTGAAAAGTGAAATTTCTGCCTACTTTTTATAGGCAAAAATTTCTATATAAAAATGATGCAATGTTAAGTACATTGCAAAAAAGTACATAAAAAATTGTCAAAAATGGAAAGTGACTACTGAGTCACTTCCAAAAATAATAAACAAAATAAAAAATATCAAAAATATTTAAAATCTTTTAATCTTCAATTTCGTCATCGACATAGGGAGCAAATTATTAGGGACCCAAAAAGCACATCTCCCAAGGGGCCATTCTATTAGAGGGGCCATTCAAATGGAGGTGGTCATTCTAATAGAGGAAATACTGTAATGAATTTCTGTTCGATTCTAAGACTTGGTTCCAGATATCCCAAATTTTTTACATATTCCGACAACCCCATTCCCAATCAAAATTTCACAATAATATTCCAACAAACAGGAATCTCTGAACATATTTGAGTATTATAAATTTTAAAAATTATTTTTAGCATAAATTTTAATTTAAGTTTCCAATGTAGAGAATTACTTAAACTTGCCAGATGGTCATTCGTTCTTATCAAAAAATTAATGAATAATAATTTTAGTAAAAAAAGCATTGCATATTCCGCCTATTTTAAATAATAAATGGGAAGTATGTTCATCTAATCAGTTTAATACGTACACACCAATTTATGGTTGATTTAAATTAAAAAAATATTTGTGGAATAATTTTTAGAAGAAATGGCCAATTTTATAAAAGTTATTCTAAATGCTAATATTCGTGTGATTTTTTATAATGGTGATTTGGATATGAGGTGTAATATGTTGATGGGACAGCGTTTTACTGAACGACTTGGATATAAAGTTGGATGATTTTTAAAAAAAATATAATATATATTTTATATATATAAATTTTATATATATAAAAATATATAAAGTTGGATGATTTTTCTTTTAAAATAAGTAGATTGTTTTTAGTGGTTTATTAACTCGTACTTGGTAAGAAGAAATTTTAAGTCGAGGTACGAGGTAAAAATAGTGTGTACAAAAAATAGTGGGAGACACTTCCAGGCCTACCCACATTTTCAAACCTCTCATAATTCTAGGAGTCTGCTTCAAAAAGCTGAAATCATATTGGAGCAGTCCATAAAATGCCGTGTCTGTTTCAATCTTATTACTATATCACATACTGCTTCACAATACCTGATCAATTAAAAGTCTTAATTAAGATATGAAATCTATGGATAATTTCTCTCATTTTACTAACAAATACCTCTTTAGGAGTAAATTGTAAATGTAAACTTTTAGTAGAATTTATACTTAAACATGAGGTTGATTGATCTGAATATATTTTTCGGTACTTATTTTACTAAAAACAACTATCCGTAATAACTAATTGAGAAACAATACATTGTTATATTTTTAAAGTTAAAAACAATAAAACAATCATGGATTGTAAATGGACAGATTGGTGGATTTAAAACTGAATATGAAAATGGATTAACTTTCACGACAGGTAACAAACAAAATTCTAAATATTTTTTAATATTTTCTATTTAGTTAGAGGAGCAGGCCATGCGGTTAATTTAAAATATTTTTTAGAAATTCAAACGATTTTATTAAGGTTCCTCAATATAAACCGCAAGAATCGTTGTATATGATTAAACAATTTTTGGATAATAAACCTCTTTAATACAAAGATTGAGGGCTATTCATAAATTTGTTGAAAGATTTAAAACTTGGTTGAAGCTTTAAAAATAATGATTTGTTAATGCATTAAATGGGATTTAACTTATATTCTTTAACATATTTAAAATTTTTGGGTAGTTAATGGTATAACATGTGATTTAATATTTTTGAATTTAAATTTGGATAAAATGAAAGGATAACTATTTTAATCACAAATATTAGAAAATTAATTTTGATTAATTAATTAATCAGGATTCTGATTTTAATTTTTGTTTATTTTCTAAATTAACTTCAAAAATATTTAACGATTGACTGTTGATTTCACAGTGCACCAAAAAACTATTATTTTGCAATTAGTTAATTAGTGCCTTTTTGAAAGATTGTACTAGATTCTCTGATTAATTCAGACCAACTTTTTTTTGTTTTTCTACATAATTCCCGAAATCACGGTGTATATTTTGTTCCTTTGTCTGAAAATTTATTTTAGTTCGTTAAAAAAATTTTAAAAATTTTTTTATTTTTAAAAAATTAAAAAAATTTTTTTTCTATGTTCCAAAACACGAAAGAGCGAAGCAAAGGTTCAACCATTTTAATCCCGTTTATTTTAGTTGCTTTTTAGTTATGTTTACCCGTTTATTTTAGTTGCTAATGAAATTAGAAGGAAAGAAGGGAAAGGGTTAGAATGAAGAGAGAATTGTAAAAATGTTTTGTGATTAAACCAAGAGATAGACTTTGTTTCATAATTATAGATTTATAAAAAATTTTTGATTCTATCTAATGTTATTGAGGTCAGACTGGATAGAAATTTTTATCGAAAACTCCTTTTGTCTTTCGAAACATTATTACATAAAGAAATTTAAAATTTAAATAAAATATTTAAAAATAACAAATCAAAATCGACGCTTATTAATTATTAAATCAAAAAATATTACTGAATTAAAATCAGAATATTTTAAACTAAATTAACAAAAAAACCTATTAACTAAAAAGGATTTCCTAAAAATTCATTAATAAAATCCATTCTCATAAAAATTCAAAAAATATTCTAAAAAAATAAATTAAATGCATAAATATCAATTAATACCTACTAACAATATTAAAAATACGAAAAAAAGATTTCCTAACATTTTGGCCAAAAGATTATTCAAAATTATTATACTGATAATATTACTAATATTATTTTATTTAATTTTTAATCGACACAAAAATAAATATAATTCACAAAGTTCTTTGACTTATTTACCTCAAATGAATTACACTGAGATAACAATAAAGGTCTGTTAAGACTACATAAGTCTAAATAATTAGAATTATAAGTTTAACGGAGCAGTTCAACTAAGTCTCGGTTCCACATTGTTAAGGGGGGTAGACAATTTTCGAAAAGGGGTAGACCATTTTTAATGTTTTTGAAAACATTGGATAGAGAATTAAATGCACTACATCCTACCTAAAAATCAAAATTCTCAATAGAGTTTTATTATTAATAATTTAATTAATTAAGGAAGGCTATTCTCAGATGAATATTATACAAAAATTAATGTATCTTCGAGGATTATATAAATATTATTCTGCGAATTTTTTACAAAAGCAATTGATAGATAAACAGGTTGGAGATTATAACAAAAATCTTAAAAAGTGAAGGATATGCTCAAATAGTGAAAGTATATCTCGTACTAGCCAAAAACTT